AGATGGAGTAAGTTCTGCCTCATCTTCAGCTGGAGCTTCCTCTGCTTCAGTTTGTGCCCATTGCCCCTTGTCCTGTCGCGGGGCACCACTGGAAAGAGTCTGGCCCCGTCCTCCTGACCCCCCCCCTGCAGATATTTAAAGGCATTTCGAAGGTCCCCTCTCAGCCTTCTCTTCTCCAAGCTGAATCTCCACACCAGACCCTAATCCCTCTGCAGACAGGTCAGACAAGACATATCAATAATGGACATTTTTGCTTTCTCTGTCCCAGCATTTGAGACCCCTGTTACACCCATCCATGTCTGGAGGATGGCCGACTTGGCCTCGGCTGAGCCTGCTCCTGCCTCCCCACCCCACGTGCCACGCTGGGGCTGGTGGAGGACATCACCCCCGAGACGCTGCCTTTCAGCCACAGCCTTCCAAGGCCGTGCACCTTCGAGGAGCTTTGAAATGAAATGCGCTCCATAAATATTATTACAGCTCTGCAACTTTCAGGTGATATATCCCAGCTCCTTTCTTGGCAATATCTTGAAGTGGTTAACTTCAGACATATGGGCTGTTTCCCAAGCAGTGGAAACCTGGCGTGCGTGCGTGTGTGTGTGTGTGTGTGTGTACACGCAGGAAAAAGAAAAAGCCCCTCTCAGAAAACAACAAATGTGGGGGTTATGGAATAATGGTCCGGGTGCAGTGCTTGTAAAACCCGTGCTCTCGCGTTTAATAGCTCCGCTTCATACCACCAGGTTCAGATCTGACGTTGCTCGGCGAACACAGCTGGTTTCCAGATCTCCTGGAGGTCAAGCATCAGGCTTTGTTCTGTTTCTTGAAGGGATTGCCATTAAAGCAGAGGAAGGTGAAAGGCAGGGGCTGGGAGAGGGGGGAAGACCCCGCTCGGTTTAACACCTTTCCAGCCCTCGCTGAAAACCTTGCGCATAACGAGAGGCCGCAGAGGATCTGGTGCTTCCCCACTCCTCCTCCTGCTAAGAGGAGAGCCAGGAATTTGTGCCTTGATTCCGAAGAGCAGGGAGGGGGACCAGCCCCGGGCTGTGCCGTCTTGTGCCTCTGCAGGGCAAGTCCTCCTTGATGGCTCTGCAATACCGCAGTGGCCTCACCAAAGCCGAAGAGCAGCTCCTGGGCCACACATACAGTGTGGTGTCACCTCCTCCCTGGGCCAAAACACCCCTTCCACGCTTCGAAGCAGACTTCTCTCTAAAAGGCAAACCTCTGCCCCCAAGGATGACCATCAGGCGGGCTTGAGTTGATGCCCAGGACATTGCGAGTGTCAGCGCTGGCAGGTCTTTCTGCAGACAAGAAAATGTCTCCCCAGCACTGGGTGATGTTATCTCCTCGCTGGCAGAAGCTGCTTTTGCAGAGCCCAGCTGGCCTGGGAGGCGTGAGCCGTACGCTGGGCACCGTGTGTATGATATTGTCTCCCTCTAGTGACTCCGGCCCCGAAACGCGTAGACACGGACTGCACATCTCCTCCAGCCCCAACCCCTGGAAGGTCAGGCTGGAGCCTCTCTGGCCGCCATGGACTCGGCTGCTCCCAGCCTGCGCGTCTTTGGTTGCCGCTGGTGGCGAAGGGCAGGCGCTCCCAGGGCCAAGGTTACCGGGG